GCCAATTATACTTACAACTCCCACGGTTGCTGTGGGGGCTGAATGAGATAACACAGGTAAGGTTCTCAGGCTGTGCCCATGACAGTGCACTAAATAAATACTAACTCTTCTTATTTCATTTACGGCAAGTGATCCTGATGACTGCTGATCCATTTCCAGAAGTTATATGGAATCTATCTTTAAAACAAGTTCACTGAGTAAAAATCAAAAACAGAGCAAGAAAGCCAATTAGAACTTTTAAGTATAGTATATCAAAACTTCAGGCACCACACAGGGATGGCAAACACCACAAGCAAAGTGAGCCTCAGCTTGTGTGACTGTGGTGGTGTCCTGAACACCAGCCCAAAGCTGGTCCTGGGAAGACAGCCTGCTATTTGCTGAATAAACGAAGGAATGAATTACAGCCATGCATTATTTCAGAAGCATTTTCTATCCAGTCCTTGCAGCAGCTGTTTCCCATGAGCACAAACAGGATCAGAGATGAAATATCAAGGCACTCAGAAAATAAAGCTGGAGGAGTCTGATTCTGACTCAGACCAGTCAGCCTGCTGCTGGGCTGCCTTCTAAGACACCTTGTCCCATTTCCAACCCAGGTCTCACTATTCTCACTGCAGCAGCAGTAAGGTCTTTTTCTCTAAGCAACTGTTTCTCCTGGGAACCTGATTTCTCCTGCATTCTCTCACTCTGTCTCCTGTCCTCAAAGGCACTGAAAGAAAACTCTTGCCCTGCCCTGAATTTTTTCACCCAAGCCCTGCAATGTCCTTCCTGCTTTTAAGAGAAGGTCACCAGAGGGCAGTATTGATCTACATTTCTTCAGACAAGGGTATCAGAAGCCAAAAAGCTGCCGAGTACCAAGACCACCTGCAGCCTGGCTAATGTCTCAGCTAGACTTCCACAAAGTCCATGCTCAGGATGAAGAAGCCACCCCCATGTCAGCTCCAAATACCGCAAAACATGACTCTGGTGAACACTGTCACCCAGGCAGGATGGATGAGGGCTCGCTGCCACTCACAGAGAACCATCATAGACAGTAGGTAGTACTGTAAATTTTATCTGCATTTACAGATTAGGGAACAGGTGCAGAGAGTTAAGCTAGAGGCCAACTAGTTCCTAATCCCCTGATTCCCCATCTCAAACAACTTTGTACCGTGCTAGGCTCCTGGGAATCCTGGAGCTTAGAAACATTTCTGTTTTATGTGGAGAGAGGGGGAGGAGCCCATGAAGCCAAGCCTCTAATCTAATGTGAATTTGCAGGAGGGAGGTATGGTCCAAGAGCTGGAGATGTTGTAGTCCCAGCTGGTGAACCCGCAGCATCTCCTATCACCTTGGGCTCCCGAGTCCCCAGTGAAAGCTTAGGTACTGAGCAGGTATGATACTGTACAGTACCACCTGACATTTAGTGCTCACAGCAACACCCGAAGTACCTGGTTTTACTGGTGGGAAAACTGAGGCCCAAAACAAATGATTGCTATCTAAGGTACAACAGTGCCTTAAAAAGTAGAAGAGGATTGAGACCCAGAAAGTTTGATTGCAGGGCTGGAGTTCCTTGCTCCCGGCACTGCTGGTGAGATCCAGGTCCAGCCACAGTGGAGCAGCAGCCAGGCTGCCTCCCACCTGCCTCCTTCGTCTCAGTGGCTAGTCATCCTCTCTGTGCCTGCTTCCTCAATGTTCAACAGGGAAACTACATCCTTGCTGCACTGTATTCCTACATGAATTCATGTTTGTGAAAAGGCACATCCCCCCCCCCCCCACCAGACAGGTGACCTGAGATCTGACTTGTAAAAGAGCACGGTTCTCCACCCCTGAAAGTCAAGGCCAGAAGTGACCAAGTGCATGGAAACTATGATCCCCAGCTACTGGGTTCTGGGTACCAGAGGCCCCATGTGAATTAGGCCTCCTCAGATAGGCCAGGCTTTCTCTGATCTACTGGGGGAAAGGAACTGGAGCTCACATCTAGCTGAGGAGACTCAGGTGAGCATTCCTCAGAAAATGCCTCTAAGGCAGGAGATGCCAAAGTGGGGCAGAGTGGGTCCTGACCCAGCCGTGATCTTGCATGGCTCCAGGCCCTCTCTGATAATCATCTGTAAATGTAGAGTCCAGCTATAGAATTGATGTCTACACTAAATATTTCTCCCTCTGTTATTGCATTGTAATCCCTGTCATATCCCCATTGTGTGCGATTAGCTCTCAGGGTAGCATATACAGGTGTTCTGGATTGTACACAGCAAATGTATATTGACTATAACCCATAATAACTAACATTTATTGACTGAGCCTTTATGTGCCATGAAAAATGATTGACACTGATTACACTGACTACCTCACTCACTGAATGCTCACAGCAACTTCGTGCGTGCAGTACTGACATCATTCTCGTTTTTGCCAGAAAACACCGAGGCTGAGAAAAGCCAGATCACTTGTCAGGGCCTGCAGTTATTTGGCACCCAGGTTGGGACTTGCAACCAGGTCCTCCTGATCTCAGAGCCCATGTTTGCTACGTCTCTGCTGTATTATCTCTTTTTAGTCCTTCACATTTAACCCCAAAAGCAACTCGCCTGTGTGCTTGCCTTTCTGTAATCATTTAAATCAGAAACTACAGAAAAACAACAAAAATTCCATCCAATTCTTCATCTAAAAAATAATAATCAGCAGTTTGATATTTATATTTCTAGATTTTTTATACAATTATAAATATATATTTTACTAAAAAATCTCATTGCGTTTTGCAGCCTGTTTCTCCAAATAAAATCATGAAAATATAAACATCTTTTCGTATCATTAGCTATTCTTCCACAATCTATTTTTCACAGTTGCATAATATTACATCATTTGGAGGATACACTATTTAGCCAGTCCCCTACTATTGGGCATTTAGATTAGTTATGGGTTGTTACCGCTATAAACAGCACTGTGGTGGACATCTCTGCAGCTAATTCTTTGCTCTGTTTAATTTTGTAAGATAAGCTTTAAGAAGTGAAATTGCTAGGTTAATCGTAAGGCTTTGAGTCTGAACTAGGGGACTCCAATGTGACTGTTCTTTGAGAAGTCAGAGCTCCATCTTCAGCAAGCCAGGCCTCCTCATAGAGAAAATCTGCTAAACAAAAACTCTGCCTCTGGCTTCACTCTGCAGTGTGCCTTACTCTAAGTCTCATTTGGACAACCAGAGCCATTCAGAGAGTCACATTTCATCACTGTTTTATGGTGGGGACAGGTTCCTCTGGGCCTGACATGACCCCTCCTACCCAGTTATCTGGAACTCATCCTCTGGACACCAATATGCTGAAACGAAATTTATTCAGTCCCATTCATGTTTGTCACATGTGCCTCCACATAACCGTGAAGGAGGAGCAGAGATGGGGAGAATTCCTTGGGGAGCATTCCCTCCAGCTGGGACAGTCAGTGTCCTCTTTCTTTGGCCTCAAAGAAACATGGAGTATGAGGAAGTGAGAGGAAACTGGATAGAAAGAAGGAGTAGAGGGAGGCAGCTGGAGCCAGGTGGTGACCAGAGGGGCTGGCCCTAATTTTTCTCCCATCTGCTTGATGACAGAGAGAAGTCTCAGCTGCTACCAGAACCTGGTCAGGGAACAGTGCCTACCCTCTGAGTAGAGATACCACCCATGGCCCAAGCTGAGGGCCTGACCTGGGGCACCAGGGAGGCTGGGACAGGATGGAGAATGGAGCCCAGATAGAAGGAGCTGGCTGAGCCACCGGGAGAAGCCAGCAGGGGCTACAGGTCCTGCTTCTGGAGCCTGAGGGAGAGAGGACGCGTGGGGCATGGTGAGTCAGGGGATCTCTTCATGCCAGGGGCCTCTGTGAGCTGAAACATGAAAGGTCTTTGGATCAGAGAGGAGCTGGGAGCCTGCATTGCCCTGCAGCTGGAAAGAAGCTTGAATTCTTCAAGTTCTCTCACTTTTCCCTTAAGAACAATTTCCATTTTCCCCTTTTGCTATGATTTATAAGAGCCTTGCTGCTCTCCAAGCAAGTTCTCAGGTACTCTGCCCGTCTGCAGCGTGTATGCATGTGCGTGTCTCAGTGTGTGCGTGTGTGCATGCGTGGGTGTGTGGGTGCATGTGTGTGTGTGTATTGGGGGAAGTAGAGGAGCCTATGACTAGCTGCCCCTTTGAACCCCACCAGAGGCTAACCCAGGCCCCTCTCTGCCCTCTTCTGAGTCTCCATGGCTGGCTCTCTCCGGGCAACTCCAGAAAGTGACTCCTCACCTCAAAAGACCAAGAAATGGGATTCTGATGAAGCGCCCCACCCAGTCTGGGCTAGTGTAATTGGTCAGAGAATGAGGGCCCATTGAGGGGAAGAAGAGGGAGAATGAGGGGATGGGAAGAGAGATGCAGAGAAAATGAGAGGTGGAGAGAAAGGAACAGAGTGGAAGAGAAGGAGGAAGGGGAGAAGCTGGGAAGACAGTGAGGATGGAAGTGAGAGACAGAAGTGGAGAACTGGAAGCCTGGAGACAGGCTTGGAGGGGGAGAGAGAGAAAGAAGAGAGAGAGAGAGAGAGAGAGAGAGAAAAGAGCGGGGGGAGGGTGGGAACGGGAAGGAGCAGCTGTGATGTGGCCAGAGGAGTCCATAGAAAAGAAACACAGTTCGGAGTAGAAGGGAGGAAAGAAAATAAGGACAGAAATAGAGAATAAGACGCAGAGAGAAGAGGAGAGAGAGAAGGAAGGTGAGAAGTAGAAACATGAGGAAAGGTGAAAAACAGAAAAAAGAAGGGACTCATGAGGATGGAGAGAGAGCCGGGAGGAAGATAGAGGGGAGTCCTTGCTGCGCTGTGTGTCAGCTCTGGTAAGTCGTCTAGCATGTCATTAGTGGGGACCTGAGGCACCTGCGGGGAAAGTCCCCTCCCCGTGGGCTGGAGACTGAGGGAGGGCGGGCCCTGGGCTGGGATCCACAGGCAGGTGGCCGCCCCTGGGTGGGGCTGTCTTGCCAAGCCTTCGGGGTATAAGTGGGAGGCCAGGGCCTGCTGAGTGCCTGTCAGGGGCAGCTCCAGGGTGCAGGTGCCAGGCAGGTGGCTCCGGCCAGCCCGGCCCCAGCATGAGTTCCTTCGACCTGCCGGCACCCTCGCCACCCCGCTGCAGCCCCCAGTTCCCCAGCATTGGCCAGGAGCCCCCGGAGATGAATCTCTACTATGAGAACTTCTTCCACCCACAGGGTGTGCCCAGCCCTCAGAGGCCCTCCTTTGAGGGGGGCAGCGAGTATGGGGCCACCCCCAACCCATACCTCTGGTTCAATGGGCCCACCATGACCCCGCAGCCCTACCTGCCCGGCCCGAATGCCAGCCCCTTCCTACCCCAGGCCTATGGCATGCAGAGGCCACTGCTGCCCAGCGTGTCAGGGCTTGGGGGGAGTGACCTGGGCTGGCTGCCCATCCCCTCGCAGGAGGAGCTGATGAAGCTAGTGCGGCCCCCCTACTCATACTCGGCTCTCATTGCCATGGCCATCCATGGGGCACCCGACAAACGCCTCACCCTCAGCCAGATCTACCAGTACGTGGCCGACAACTTCCCCTTCTACAACAAGAGCAAAGCCGGCTGGCAGAACTCCATCCGCCACAACCTGTCACTCAATGATTGCTTCAAGAAGGTGCCCCGGGACGAGGACGACCCGGGTAAGGAGGTTTTGAGTGTGGGAGGTGTCCCCAAGGAAGGCTCACTTCCTTCCTCCCCAAGACCTCATTCTAGAAGGTTCTGACTAAGGCTGTGTCCCCCAAGACTAGGGGATGCTACCAGACAGGGCAGAGGGGAGCTCAGCAGTGGAGGACATGTGGGCCTGGGGGAAGATTTACCTTTCAGTCCTGGCTGTGCACTGACCAGTCAGTGACCTCTGGCAGGTTAGACCTCAGAGCCTCAGTTTCCTCATCTGAAAACCAGGGATAGTGACACGGTCTGCTTTGTAGGCTACCGTGGAGATGATGCGATAATGTACGAAAGGCCCTTGGTGTTATCAAGTGCTTAATCACCTGCAGTAATTACGATTCATCTGCATCTCCAGCACCCAGCACATAGAAAGTCTTTGGTGAATGAATAATTGGACCAAGCAAAGCTGGAGGGCATCCCAAGACCACTGGGAAGAGGATCTGACCTGGGTTAAACAGCCACTAATGGCCCATCTTGCTGCCTGCCCTATTTCTACTTACACAATCTCCTTTAAGGCCACGACACCCTGCAGGGTAACTCTTATTAAACCACTCTACAGATTAGGGAGATAACACTCAGAGGTGACACAGCATGAAGTGATAGTGATGGAGCTTGAATTTGAACTCAGTTTTCTCTAACACCAGAAATTGTGAGCTTTTCCTTTTCAATGATGCATTTCTAAAACTCAGAGACCTGTAGAGAGTCATGTATTAAATAGTCATGCATCAATTTCCCAGAATTAAAGCCCATTTTTGTTCCATGACAGAAAGCCAAGGTATAGCTCAGAAGAACCCCAAATCTGCCCCAAGTGAGTTTAGCAAGCGCCACACCTGTTTGTCCCCTGAAGAGGACAAGTGTCCTGTCCAAGGACTGCTGTCACCCTCAGGTTGAGAGACGGTAGCAGGAAGAGTTCAGCAATCCCTTGGGATGGTTCCTCCCAGCTGCAAAGCCCCTTTCCACACCCAGTGTCCATCATTTCTCAGTGGGCCTGAGGAAGACATGGGCAATGGGCCCACTTTTCAGACTAGGAAACTGAGGTTCTCCCAAAGCCCCTCAGTCAGTGAGGAGCAAGGCCGGGAGTCTGTCCTCAGACTCCAAGCCTAGGGCTATAAGGGAGTCCCAGAGTTTTTCCTGAGTCCTTTTGCCTCAGCATTGAAAGCCCTCCATCCCCAACCCCCCAGCATCCTTGCCCCCAGTATTTCATCCTTCTTAAAGAGACCTAACTGCAAACTTCTTGATGCCTGTGCATCTTGGCTGCAGTCCCAGAGGGCCCCTTCATGGGCTGCTTAAATAAACGTGGATGTGGTATGGTCCATCACTTGATGGAATTCCTCCATTCCTCAGTACCTGCCTTTGGGTTTCTGTCTCCTGTGTCTGTCACCGTGGTTTTTAGTTTATGACAATGAGGAGGGACAGAAGCAAAGCATTTTGTCCACCTCTCTCCTTACCCCCTTTCACTTTTGTAACAGGCAAAGGGAATTACTGGACCCTGGACCCCAACTGTGAGAAGATGTTTGACAATGGAAATTTCCGCAGGAAAAGGAAGAGAAAATCAGATGTTTCCTCCAGCACAGGCTCCCTGGCCTTAGAGAAGACAGAGAGCAGTCTCCTGGTGGGCAACCCCAAGACCACGGAGTCTCAGGACATCTTGGATGGAGCGTCACCAGGGGACACCACCAGCTCCCCGGAGAAGCGGCCTTCCCCTCCCCCATCGGATGCCCCTTGCCTCAACAGCTTCCTTTCCTCTATGACAACCTATGTGAGCGGAGGGAGCCCCACCAGCCGCCCCTTGGCCACACCAGGACTGAATCCAGAGCCCAGTGACAAGACAGGGCAGAACTCGCTGAGCTTCAACTCCTTCTCCCCGCTCACCAACCTCAGCAGCCACGGCGGTGGGGGCGACTGGGCCAACCCCATGCCCACCAACACACTCAGCTACGGTGGACCTGTGCTCAGCCAGTTCAGCCCTCATTTCTACAACAGCGTCAACACCAGTGGCGTTCTCTACCCCAGGGAGGGCAGCGAGGTCTAGGTACAGAACAGCTCCTGAGCCAGATGGACATGCCAGAGAGAAAAGCATTGGAGGTCCTCCATGCCAGCCCCACGGTGGTCCGTGACTGTGGAACTGCCCAGCCATAAGCAGGAGCCTCCAAGGAATCCACCCTCTTTCAAGAACAGTGGTGAAGACTTCTGTTTATCACACATAGGTCCACACACAAACTCACCAACTTTGCAATGGAGATACTGGTGACTGGAGAACAGCAATAATAGTGGCCAGGTATCGAGCACTTCCTATGTGCCAGGTGCTGTACTAGGCTCTGTACTGGCCTCACTGTACTATTTAAATTCACCACGTAAGGTTCACTAACCTCCCCATTTAGCAGATGAGGAAACTGAGGCTCAAGGGGGTTAAGTAACATTTCCAGGGTTATATAAACTAGCAAATGGCAGAGCTAAGAGTCAAATCCAGGTCTATGTGATCCTCAGAGACTGGAGGCCACGATGGAGAATTGGTTGAGTAGCCAAGAAAGGTCAGTGAGAAAAGCTTGCTATGGCAAATATAGCAAAATCTCTCCACTGCCTTCTGTCCACCAAAATTTAGTGCCAGCCCAGTCACATCTTGTCCTGGTCTAAGACCTTATTCTACTTGCCCCAGCTAAACCTGCAGACACTCCTTTTGCTACCACACAAGGAAGGAAGTCACCATTAGCCTCAGCCCAGAAAACTCAGCCCTAGTGGCTCCGCAGAACAATGCATCCAACATGTATGTGTAATGCATCCCCATGGAGAGACACCATTGCTTCCCAGCACCCCCAGAAGCCTTGGGCAGATCCAGCAGTTAGTGAGAGGGGTGGTGTGTACCCCTAAATCCTTCCATCCCAGCACTGCCCAACAGTAAAATTTTGTAAAGCCCAATTTCCTGTGTGCACGTCATGGACCAGTGAGCTGGAGATGGCTGTCTTCCAAGAGAAACAAGGCTGGATAAGCACTTCCTTTTTTCTAGCCCAGGGGAGGTGGATGTTTGTCTGAAGAAACAATGGCCTCAAGGGAGGGGCCTTGGGCCTACCCTCACAGGGGGTGCCTGCGTGATCTCCTGGGATTTCTCCTTGTTTTTGTGAGTACTTTATATGCTGGTGATGTTTCATCACAGCACACCCTGGAAAGTGTTGTTTGTTTTCTTATTTTCTTTTTAATTAAAAAAAAAAGTGGTGCCGAAGTGTGTGGGTCTTCTTAATGAGATTTCCTGTCTCCTGGCTGCCTGGTGTGTTCACCAGGGGGCCAACTGCAGCCTAGAGCTGAAGGCGTTTGGGACAGGAGGCAGAGAAAGAATGCATATCAAGACTCTTTTCACCTCTTCACTGGCAGGAGCCCAGCAAAAGTCCCCAAGGAAAAGAGGGGAATCTGGGAAGGAGGTATGGGGACATGGAAGGAATCCACTGGTGCTGAACACACAATATGGACTTGGTGTATCCCAGTCTTTACAGCTCATGCAAACCTCCTAACTGTGCTATGATCATTTCATCCTAACAACACTGTGATGAGGGTGGTACTAGTCTCATTATGCAGATGAGAAAACTGAAGGTCAGAGTGGTTGAGAGATTTGCGTGAAGTCCACATGCAGTCTACACCTAGGTCTGTCTGACCCTGCACCTCATCATGCTTCTGCATAGTCTCAGATGTGATCGATGCTAGAGGCAGTAACAACAGTACTATGGGCTATGACTCACTGAGGGCTGTGGGCAGGCCCTGCATCAAGTGCTGTGTAGGTGAGACCTTTTTTATCCTTACAGCAGCCCATAGTGTGTACACCAGTGATCTCCTGGGGTCCCTGACACAATGCATGCTGCAGGACTTGTGCACTGAAGCTGGATTTTTTTGTTAGGAGTTCTCTCCTAGGGTGTGCATAGAGAAGGCTTAAACCAGGAATAGCTGGCCACTTGGATCACTGCCTATTCAGACCCTGGGGGCTCTCTTTCCTTGGAGTGACAGAGAGGAGTTGGTAAATAACAACAATGATGATGATGATGATAAGAGCATTCATCATGGGTTTACCATGTGCCAGGCACTGCATTAGGACTTCACCTGCTTTATTGTATTTAATCCTCAAAATAATCCCGTGCAATCAATACCATTATTTTCACTGAATAGGTGAGAAAACTGAGGCCTGGGGAGATTCATAGCTTGATAGAATAGTCACAGCCAGGACTCAAGCAGATCCACTGATGCCGCGGCCGAAGTGCTTCTTCACAGCACCTAGTGATGGGGAGCCCAGGACTTACCACAGGACAGTAAATCATGACAACCAAGAATAAAAGCAGCAAGGCTGCCTGAGAAGCCCTCAGACCCTTTCCCTGGGAGTCCCTTTCTGCAGGGAGACTTCTGGCAGGTTCCACATGGCCTAGGGAAGTAAAAGGTTGGGACATGGTGTCAGACTGTCAGCCTCTTAGAAAACTCAAGATAGGCCTGCCCCTGGCTGCAAAGAAAGGCAGCCTACAGCTTGGAGGGGAAGGCACTCCACAAATGTCACAAGGGCAATGAGGTCAGAGTCAGAATTAAAATGCAAGTACCTGAAGCCCAGACTAGGATTTTTCATCCCACTAGATCCCTCTGTCACCAAATTTGTCCAAACAGACCCTGAAACACCACCCTCTCCATTGATCACCTCCCTGCCTGCTCTTCAGCCTCTCCTCCTTCCCCCAGGCAGGTCTGCAATGGGCAAGGGCCTGGGCCAGGAATGAGGAGTGAAGGGGCCCAGGGAGAGCCCAAGCCAACAGGAAGGGAGCCAGCCATTTAGAACCAAGGCCCACAACCTCAAGACTCCAGTCTTCTTCTGCCCAGAATTTAACGGGCACACGCAGAAAGGAGAAAGTGTGTAGGGCTCTGACAACACGAAGACCCTGCCAACTCTTGCCTGTGGCCCTGCAGGGAGTTCCTGGTAGTAGTGCCAGGAGCCCATGGGAAGCACGGCTCTGGAAGCACCCAGACGGCACAGCTGAGAGGGGTCGCAGGCCAAGAAGGGAGTCTCCCAGCAGCTGCATGGAGGCTGCCTGCTCCGGTTTTGGTTCTTTTCCTCTGAGAAGAAATAAGAGCTGGAGAGAGGGAAGGAGGAAGGGGGGAAAGGACTGGTTATTTACCAAGCTTTTAATCCTGTGTACAGTGCTGTGCATAGATGTTGGCATGATTAGCCTCCTACACTTTGGCTGCACATTGAAACCATGGTGTCCAGCATCCATGAAGGGTCTGAGAAAAGGGCCACCTGAAATGCTGCCGGAAAGAGATGTGATGGGAGCTGAAAGATGGCAAACTAGTTTATACCCTCACCCTCCAACAGCCAAACTCAAACCCCCCCCGCAAACCCTGAATTAGCGTGCCTCCATTTCCAAGTGATGTGGAGGTTGGGGGAACTTTGATTCAAAGCAATATATATAAAATATACATACATTTTACAGTCTCATTTATTTTAATAGACAAAGTTACAAGAGGAAAAGTTGAGAAATACTATACATAAAATACTAGCAGTCATTGTTTGGTGTCTAATAAAATATTAGGTGTGGTTTTTGGTCATTGTGTACAGTAGACATATTGTCATCCCAGGTCACCACTGGTTCCAATGACAGGGGTGGAAGACACCTGCCATGTTGTCCCATGGCCCCCCTGCCTCCCGCCATCACAGCTGACTGATCCTGAGGGACACCTAATCCAAGCTGAGGTCTTTCTGCTATGGCTGATGATATGATTCCCCTTAGCACAGGCATGGCCCTTAGGCAGCCACTATTGAAAGAAAGGGGAATCGATGTGATGCCAGCAACTTATCTAAAACATGAGAGTCAAGGCTGGACACGATGACTTACTCCTGTAATCCCAGAACTCTGGGAGGCTGAGGCAGGAGGATCACTTAAGTCCAGGAGTTTGAGAGCAGCCTGGGCAAAACAATGATAGAGATAGAGTTATCTCTACAAAAAGTAAAAAAAAAATTCCAGGTGTGATATGCATCTGTAGTCTCAGCTACTCAGGAGGCTGAGGTGAGAGGATCAGCTGAGCTTGGGAGATGGAGGTTGTAGTGAGCAGAGATTGCACCACTGCACTCCAGCCTGGGCAACAGAGTGAGAGTCTGTCTCAAAAAAAAGTAAAATTTAAAAAAAAGTAAGAGTCAGAATAAATGTTCAGACTTATTGAAAAGCTCATGCCAAGCTGATGAGAATGATGTGGGAGTTTGAAGGTGCAGAAGCTCTCCTTGGAGTTCCTGGAGGGCCCAGCAGAGATCAAGGCACAAGACTAGAAAGGCAGGGGAGCTGAAGGAGACAGTGGAGGGACTGCAGATAAGCATTTATGAGGCCCTGACATGTACCAGGCCCTGGGGACTCACGGAGCATGCAGTTATCTCCATCTTCACAACACCTTAGGTGCTGGGGGGCAGGCACCCAAGGTTTAAGCAGCCTCTCAAGATCTCAGACCACAGTTTACATGCTTTCAATCTCAGGCTCCCCCACTCCCCTGTAAATGGGCACTGTGAGGCCTGCTGTCTAGCAAACCAACAGTCTCCCTGCTAGAGAGAACATAGGGACATAGCACCCATATCAGGAAAGCCATGTCAGCTAGCACATCACTGGAGGCTGAAGCTTTGTCTCTGTGGAAGGCTTAGCTCAGCTTCCCTGCCCTATACACCGACTTCGTGCCTGCTTTCTTTCAGCCGAGAAGGAGAGAGGTCTGGGCTGCTTTCTCTGCTAATCCACCTTTGGATTTTCTCCTTAGGAGCTGGTATAAAAACAATGAAATTGGCCTTTGTCTCTGACTTTCTCTATTCAGTGCTTCTTTGAGTTTCTTGTGAGGCAGAAATATTGCAATGCTGAAGGCACCATTTGCTTCCGTCTACTTGTAGGCCCCAAAATAACCCCGTGGACATATGTTCCTCCCTTGCAGAAGCCATTGGAATCCCAAGACGAGGCCGAAATGCAGGGTCTGTCATCAAAGTGGTATCACTATCTGGGGAACTCTCCTGCTTTCTTTCAGTTCAGGCAAATGAGGTAACAGCAGAATTTTTAACATTTATTGCATGTTTAGGATGAGCTATGTACTTCCTTTTTATTTATTTATTTATTTTTTTGAGATGGAGTCTCGCTCTGTCACCCAGGATGGAACACAGTGGCACGATCTCAGCTCACTGCACCTCCCATCTCCCAGGTTCAAGCTATTCTCTTGCCTCAGCCTCCTGGGTAACTGGAACTATAGGTGTGTGCCACCACGCCTGGCCAATTTTTGTATTTTTTGTAGAGATGGGGTTTCACCATGTTGTCCAGGCTGGTCTCAAACTCCTCAGGTGATCTGCTCATCTCAGTCTCCCAAAGTGCTGGGATTACAGGCGTAAGCCATGGTGCTCAGCCTGTGTACTTCCTATAGACTGCTTAACAATCTCAACACTGATGAAGCTGAGACTATAATTATTTGTTTTTGGTATGGAAGTAAACTAGTGTTCAGAGAAGTTAAATAACTTTTCCAGGACCATGCAGCTCATACCTAAGGTAGACCTCAACCACAGGGATCCCCAGCTGTAGAGCCTGTGCTCTTAGCCTAGATGCTAGGAGAAAGCCCCTGAACTGGGAATTTGGAGACAGTATCCCCACAAGTAGATAATTCCCTTTCCACCGATTCTGGAACAATCAAACGTGGGATAACGGCTATCAAGAAGATGTTGTGTCAGCTCGGGCCACCATTATCACTGCATTCCTGATCAGCAACAGCCTCCAGGCTGGTCTCCCTGCCTCCAGCCTTTCCCTCCACACACAGAGTGTGAGCTTCCTAAGGGACAGGGTGGGTCACACCTGCCTCTGCCCTCCTCAGAACCTCTCAGTGGTCCCAAATCCTTTAGGTCCACACTAATTTGCAAGGCTCTTGAAGTGTCATCTCTCTGGTTAAGACCTCAGGCTTAGCACTAGACTATATTGGATTCCAATCCCCTCTGCCTGCCTACAGGAGTCAATGTAAGCAGGCAGTTGCCTCAAGAGATGTCCTGCATATTCGTGTGTGTTAGTCCATTTTCACACTACTAATAAAGACATGCTTGAGACTGGGTAATTTATAAAGGAAAGAGGTTTAATGTACTCACAGTACATGTCTGGGGAGGCCTCCCATCATGGCAGGAGAGCAAGGGTTATCTTACATGGCAGCAGGCAAGGAAAGCTTATGCAGGGGAACTCCTCTTTATAAAACC